GATGCAGAGATATGTTTGCTGTAGGAGACAGCTTTGCAAACAGTCACATGCGGAGATATGGTTGCTGTAGGAGACAGCTTTGCATACTGTTACATGCAGAGATATGGTTGCTGTAGGAGACAGCTTTGCAGACAGACACATGCAGATATATGGTTGCTATACTTGGTGAGAGTCAAGCTGCACCCTGGAGCATCATAGCTGTGCATGTGTGATATACTCACCTGTCCTTCACTCCTGCGTGTCATCTGGCTCCTCCCACCTCCAGGATTTAAGCCTCCAACATTCAGTTGCTTGGTGTTAGAGCATGGAGGAACATGCTGGGCAAGTCTCCAAGTCAGCAATGTCTCTGGGAGGAGACAGGTTTAGTGAAGGAGACTTGCCCAGCGTGTTCCTCCTTGCTCTAACACCAAGCAACTGAATGTTGGAGGCTTAAATCCTGGAGGTGGGAGGAGCCAGATGACACGCAGGAGTGAAGGACAGGTGAGTATATCACACATGCACAGCTATGATGCTCCAGGGTGCAGCTTGACTCTCACCAGAGATGCGCAGCTTCACTCGCACATCCAGGTGGAGGGAAACAGCTTGGCAGTCACAAGTTCACTCTCTCCTCTGGGGGGCAACTTAGCCCTCCTTATCCCCTTCCTATTTTACCCAGGCATCTTCAGAAGAAGGCCCGCCAGCTCCCATCTGCGGGGGGCATCTTGAAGACCTCTGGATTCAATCTATGAAAAATGCCACATGAAGACTACTGAGAATGCCCAGTAATGTGTGCTGTAATATCAGAGAAACACCACTAGAGGTCCCCAGTGTCTGCAAAAAAGGAGTCACATTATTAGACTGAAAAATGCCACATGAAAACCTTCTGAGAATGCCCCGGTTATGTGTGCTGTAAGATCAGAGAAACACCACTAGAGGTCCCCAGTATCTGCAGAGAAGGAGTCACATTATTAGACTGAAAAATGCCACATGAAGACTACTGAGAATGCCCAGTTCTGTGTGCTGTAATATCAGAGAAACACCACTAGAGGTCCCCAGTGTCTGCAAAAAAGGAGTCACATTATTAGACTGAAAAATGCTACATGAAGACTACAGAGAATGCTCCAGTTCTGTGTGCTGTAATTTCAGAGAAACTCCACTAGATGTCCCCAGTGTCTGCAGAAATACACAAAAATAGAAAACTGAAAATCTGAACTTTCTAAAATTAACCTCTTGCCGTCCGCCCGCCCTCTTGCCGTCCGCTGTTTCACATACAACCAATCAGCGGCTCTATAGCCGCCGATCGGTTGTATGGCGTGATAGCCTCTGTAGTGTGAATGCAGTAGTGATGTGTATTACATCACTTCCGCATTCACCTGTCAGTCATCTGGCTCCCTCCTACTGCCAGAGAGAAGAAGCTGATGAAGCAAATCTAGAGACCCCTAATGTGGAGACATTAGGGGTCTCTAGACCCCTAATGTCACCTGGAGATAATACACATAAGATATATTTAAAAAAGAGTACCAAGCGATGCAAGTATCATACGCAACAACCGCCCAGGTAAGGACATAACAAAATAGGACAGACAACATTTTTTTTTTTTACATTAAAAAATATGACATCACTACAAGCGAAAACGTTTCCTTTACATTGATAAAACTGATATTTATCAAAACTAGAGCAGACAGAAGCAGTTGCCCACTGCAACCAATCAGCGTATCTGTTCAGTTTACCTTTGAAAATTAAAGGTAGGTGCTGATTGGTTACCATGGGCAACTGCTCCAGATTCTGTCTGTTCCAGTTTTGATATTTTCCCCCCAGAATATCTATAACAAGCATATTGTGCTCTTTCATAAGCCTGTATCAACTCAAGTAGACTTCAAAGTCTCAGGTCAGGTTGACCTCATTTTCCTAACAAGATCTGGACCAGATTTGGAACACAGTGCATTGTGTTTTGCTGCAATTTTGCCGCATTTTAGCAGTTATTTTTTAGCTTATGATGGGCTTTCCGGTGCCGTCCAGTGTGTTTGCATGCATTTGTATGTGGGGTTTTTTATCCATTTCCATGTGTCACGGGCAGGGCCCTCCTTACCATCTTGCCTTTAATTTTATTGTGATTGTAATGTCTTCCTTATGTTGTAAAGCGCTGTGCAAACTGTTGGCGCTATATAAATCCTGTATAATAATAACAATAATAAATATAGCTGCAAGCTATATGTGGCATGTAAAGGTGGCCAAGCAGTAGAGCCGGTTATAGCACCTGAGAAGATATTTTAGTTAGAGAGAGAAAAAGTAGGAGACAATTTAATGAATTATAAAAAAAATGCAAAATTCAAAATGGCCGCTGACTTTGGTGACCTCTGAATGCCATATTGTATTTGGCAGATATGATGTTGAGTATGTTAACAAGTTTAACATACTTCACTAGTGATATAAATGCACATTTATGCAATTGGATGCAATGTCAAAAAGTGATAAAATATGTATAATCCGCGCTTATGGATATAAGTAAAATTAAATAAAATATAATTTAAAAAATGTTATTGGAAAAATATTAATAGTAATAAAAGCTGCTGCGCTCAGGACACTGAAGCCAACTGCCCGTGAGTACCCCGAACAGACTCCCCAGCCCTCCGCCCTCACCCATATGCACCCCCCTCCTCCACGATGAGGACTCACTTCCCGGTCCAACGTCTGCTGGTATAGGCCCCAGACGGGATGACCCGGAGGACTGGCGGGCTTGCATGTCACAGCTGCCTACGAAACGGGACCTAGATAGTATGGCCACGAAAATAGTAGACGCCTTACGCCTGGAGCTGCATGAGGTCCGGCAGCATGTGTCCACGCTGGAGGGTCGGGTGGACGTTGTGGAAATGACCACGGCCTCAGTGCAAGATCGAGTGGCAGCTCTGGAGGCAGGCCAGGCCGCACATCAAAGACATATCACAGCCATTTACCTGCAGGTGGATGATAGTGAAAACCGGAACCGCCGGAACAATCTGAGGCTTAAAGGGATCCTGGAGGCAACATCAGGCCCAGACTTGCGGTCCACGGTCACGGCGGTTCTAAACCATTATTTGGATAAGCCACCCACTGCAGAGCTGGAATTGGACAGGGTGCATAGGGCCCAGGGAGCTCGTAACTTACCTTCAGGAATGCCACGTGACGTACTCTGCAGAGTTCATTTTTACTCCTTGAAAGAGGAGATACTGCGCCAGGCCTGGAACAAAGGCCCCCTGGATTTCGATGGGGCCAGGATCCAGATTATGCCAGATCTTTCACGCCACACTCTGCGTATGAGGCGCACACTGAGACCGGTCCTAGATGTTGTACGCACGGTGGGAGCCACTTATAGATGGGGACACCCATTCCACCTGATTGTCTCCAGAGAAAATAGGAGACAATCAGGTGGTCGAGGCCTCACCAGCGATCCTTCCTGCAGGACACTCCCTCCAGGAGTAGGGAGGCAAGGGAACTTTGACCACACCGATTGTTGACGTTCCAATATACGGCCTATACGTCTGATATGCCTATACAAGGTTTGACCTTCCATTGCACTGACTGGATATTTCCTGGCCCTCAGTGCCCTTCCATGGTTTCCACATAAGAAGGACTTGTGGGTACAGTGACAGACTCATGGGCGCGGGCCCCCTGGAGTAACTGTCCCCATCGGTTTGTTTAGTGTTTTAGGGGATAGGGGGTTAGATGCGCATCACCTAGTGCTTCCATGTCACATATTACAATGGGGGGCTCATATATCCCTGGGCACATGTTTTTGTTTGATGGATTGGTGGGGACGGGATGCCACACCCCTGGGGAGGCACCCACATTCTGAGAGATATGGTGAGATGCTTATGACAGTTCTTTCTACGGTGGGGTGCTGCCCACGGGGGGTGGTGGGCCATCTACCTGGATACCCACAATAAGCGGGCGGAGGGGGTAGTATACTTATTGGGGGTCCTGGGAGTTGTGACAGGGGTCCCCCCTGTGGGCTTTGGGTTGATGGATTTACTAAGGGGTCTCTCTTGGGCCGTCCCGGCCCCTCGCGGTACACCTCCAATGTTTCACCTAACTTTTTATCTAAGCTAAGGTTAAAATTTTGGTTGCTTTGAACTTTACAGATACTAAGGTTTTATACTTGGTTTTTTTTTAGCTATTAACGCTACCATTCAGGAATCCCGCAGAATTCCTATTCTGCGATCCCCCATTAGGGTTTCTCCCAGCTTCCTTGGAGGCGCGGAGATTTTTCTTTTGAGTCTTCCTCGTCCCATATTTGGGTCGAGCAGGAGGTTCTCTCGCATATAACTGTAAACGCTGATTTTGTCCTATTAGCCCACCGATTACTGATCTGTCTTTTTTCTTCTACTGTTGTTCCCTTCTTTCCCTGCTTTCTTTTGCTCTCCTCAGATACACAGCACCCTCTTTATCGGCTGATTTTGGACCCATCCTCTCCATTGCTCCGCTGCCCTATCTTTGCATCATGGTGCGGCCTGGCTGTCGCGGTGAGAGGCAGCGGAATGAGGGATTGGTCAAATTCACATCCCTAAACGTCAAAGGCCTGAACATCCCCGAGAAACGTTCCCGGCTCCTGGCGGATCTGCGAAGCATGAGGTCACAGGTAGTTTTTTTACAAGAGACACATTTTAAGACACAACAGATTCCCCGTTTACATAACAGAGATTTCCCGGTTGCCTACCACTCGTCCTTACCGATCTCCAAATCGAAGGGTGTCAGTATACTATTGGCCAAATCGGTGCCGTGGGAACTGATAGACCTCAAGCAGGACCCGGACGGCAGGTATATTTTGACAAAGGGTAGGGTGGGGGAGACGATATACACTTTTGCTAACGTGTACCTGCCCAACTCGGACCAACTGATATTCCTACACCGGGTGGTAGCCATTCTGCTCGAGTTCTCAGAGGGCTCGCTGATCCTATGGGGTGACTTTAATTTTGCTATGGAACCGCTAATAGACGTCTCCAGAGGGACATCGCATCTTGCGTTCGCCGACCTTAAAAAGTTACGGGCTGAGCTTCAGTTGCTACGGGTAGTGGACTCATGGCGATTCTTACATCCCGGGGTCAGGGATTACACTTTTTTCTCAGCGGTACACCAGACATACTCTCGCATTGACTTTTTCTTGGTTGGCCACCATTCCCTCCTGGCCCTACGATCGGCCTCCATAGATGCTATTCTTTTGTCTGATCACGCCCCTATACATATGGAGCTGGAGGTTCTACCACCTCGTTCCGCATTATCAACCTGGCGCCTAAACGAATCCCTTCTCCAGGACCCGGTGGTGAAAGCAGATGTTACTAACGCGATTCAGTCCTATTTCCTAACCAATGCGGACTCGGTTCCCAGCCCTAATGTAGTGTGGGAGGCACACAAATGTGTAGTCAGGGGCATACTCATCCGGCACGGCGCTAGACGCAAACGGGAACAGAAGGAAAAGATCACTCGCCTCCTCTCCCAGATCCGTCGTTTGGAGTCTAGCCACAAGCGCTCTATAGCGCAGGCTTCGCAAACGGCCCTTCGCCAACTTAGGGAGGCTCTGAACACCCTATTATATCAGAAGGCCAAGCAGAGGTTGGTGACATGCAGGCGAACATTTTATGAATATTCCAATAAGCCGGGTAGGCTTCTGGCCAGGGCTCTTGGGGGAGCCCGACTGGGGACATACATCCGCATATGGGGGACCGGTTGTCCATGTCTAAAGACATTGCGGGGGCATTCGAAGACTTCTATACTCTACTGTATAACTTGCGCTTAGACACTCACACTTCCGACCTGACCGACCGTAGTTCTCGCATGGCCTCTTACTTGCGCCAATCGGGTATGCCATCCCTTGACCCCCAGGTATCGGAGCTCCTGGAGTCTCCCCTGACGGAGGAAGAATGGGACTTAGCCACTAAACAATCAAAACCCAGGAAGGCACCAGGTCCAGATGGGTTCACGTTGTGGTATTACCAAACGTTTGGCTCCATCCTTTCCTCCCATTATTTGAAAGCCTTCAATGCGTTGGCCACTGACGGTACCCTGCCATTGACGCACTTAGGGCACACATCACGGTGATCCCAAAGCCGGATAAGGACCCCTCCCATTGTGGCAGCTACCGCCCCATAGCGCTTCTTAATGCGGATCTCAAACTGTTCGCCAAGATGCTGGCGAACAGACTCCTCCCTCACATTGGCCATTTGATCCACTTTGACCAGGTGGGCTTTGTTCCCTCTAGAGAAGCGTGTGACAATACCACCAGGGTCCTGAATGTCATTCATTCACCACGCAGGGGTCCCCCATAAGGTGGCAGCTTATGCGGACGACCTCATATTTTTGATGCTGTCAATTGACGCAGAAAAGGCCTTTGACAGGGTGGATTGGCAATTTATACAATCCATGTTGCATCATGTGGGGTTGGGACCCCATATGACTTCGTGGATCATGGCCCTCTACGCGTCCCCGACTGCAGCGGTTAGGGTTAACGAGACTTATTCAGGATACTTCGCCATCAGCAACGGCACCAGGCAGGGATGCCCATTATCCCCACTTATTTTTATTCTCACCTTAGAACCTTTTCTATGCACCTTCAGGGCAGATGAGGACGTGAGGGGTTTACTGACTCATGCGGGATCCCATAAGGTGGCAGCTTATGCGGACGACCTCATATTTTTTGTGACCCACCCCATGACCTCCCTTCACAGTCTCCTTCAGGCATTTGACATATATGGGGAACTTTCAAACTTTTTGATTAACCCGACAAAGTCTGAAGCTCTAAACATCTCTCTCCCCACTTTGCTAATGGAGGAGGTGAGAACCTCATTCCAGTTTCGGTGGGCGCCAACCTATCTTAAGTATCTTGGGGTGCGGATTACAGCGGACCCTGACAGACTGTACCAAGAAAACTTCATCCCGTTATTAGGTACGGTAAAACAAGATCTGGCCAAGTGGCAAGAATTGACTCTCACTTGGTTCGGTAGATGCGCTTCTCTTAAAATGACAACTCTCAAGAGGATCTTGTATTTGCTTCAGACATTACCGATCCGCCTCCCCCCCACTTTTTTCACCCGCATGAGGCGGCTGTTTGTGTCCTTCATTTGGGCACGACAGAGGCCGAGGATTGCATACCGCCTACTGATTCTACCTAAGGACAGGGGGGGACTAGGCCTCCCAGACATTCGGATGTACCACAAGGCGACTCATCTCTCCAGACTCCTAGACTGGTGTTGTCATGGCAGTCAGATAAGGTGGGTGGAGATGGACCTGCTCGAATCTGGGGCACCACTTACAGGCCTAGCGTGGCTCTCTTCCCTACTGCCACCAGAGCTGTCGACCCATCCTTTAATTGCACCGACATTGACTTCCGTGAGGGCAACGTTACGATCCACAGACCTATCCCCGTACCCGTCTCCCATGACTCCGGTACTGGGGGACCCAGACTTCCCCCGGGAATGGGGAGGGGCCCGCTGAGACGTTTGTTAGCTTTAGACAAGTTTCGACTCTGCGATTTTATTGTGGACGGTCAGTGGATGCCCTTGGAGGCCATCCGGCATATGCTTGACCCTCCTCTTGAAGTGTGGAGTGCGTACCAGCTTCGTCACTTTCTGGTTTCAGTGCCTGGGGTGGGGGGACTGGCACGTAAACTCACACCCTTCGAGACTCTGTGTGACGCAGGCGCACCGACTAGACACGCCCTATCCTGGCTATACGGGCAGCTGTGCTCACCCCCTGAGTCGTTCTGCCCCCCCTTTCCTGGAACGGTGGGAGTCCGAGATGGGTAGGACCTTTACAGAGCAACAGAAGACAGCGATTTTGGCCCTAGCCCATAGATCATCCATGGCCTGTAAATATCAGGAGCAGGGGTATAAGATACTATCACGCTGGTACAGAGTCCCTCATGTCTTGCATAAAATTGACCCCTCAATCCCGTCGCTCTGCTGGAGGTGCAACCAGGCACCGGGCACCATGCTTCATATCTTTTGGGCATGCCCTGACATACGCCCTTTCTGGACCGCGGTGAGGACGATGGTGAACCAACTGGTAATTGAACCCCTACCTGATGATCCTGGGGTGTTTCTCCTACATATGACCTCAACCAAAATCGAACGATACAAAAAATCCCTAACAGTACATATGTTGAACGCGGCTAGGTCTTGCGTACCCTTGTTGTGGAGACAAACCAACCCCCCCATGGTACGACTCTGGCTAAACATTGTGGACAATATATACCGCATGGAGGACCTGACAGCCTCCATGCGAAATGAGGAAGAACGCTTCAGTTCCACCTGGATACCCTGGCTGCACTTCACACATTCCGCTGCATACGTGGCGGAGATGGGAGAAATCCCAGAGACACAGCGGAGCGATGGGTGAGGATGCTGCACTCCGAGGTGGACATATGTTGGCATATAGTGGCCGGTGCACTGTATGTTTCCCTCTTCTTTTCCCTTTTTGCTTTCTTTTCTGCTCATTCCCTGATCTCCTTCTTCTTACTTTACAGATCGGTAATGGGGCTAGAGACGAGAGTAACCACATTGGAGTGGTCCGCCCCACGCTCTCTTACTCAGTCCCCCAGCACATGAGGGCGGAGGTTCGGCTCATGTGGATGGCTGGGGGGAGCGGGGGGGGGGTGGCTCATCCCTGCACAGGAGTTGTTCTGTTTTGTTGCCATATTGGCATACTTAAATTGATTACGTTGGTAATTGCAGTGTATGGGACATCATTCGGTTCGCACACGCAAATCACTTCCTGTCCCAGCCGTATTTCGGAGGGACCAGGGTGATCGGCTTGAGCGACCTATGAGGGCAGGAGCACTACATCTAGGTAGTAGAATCTCACCGGAGAGGAGTATTGAGTCAACCGCTTCCATATAGTCATCTGATTTTTACCCAGTAGTGTGACGAACAGTCTTGGTCTATATGTCCCGATCAATGTTAATCGGTGACCGAACAAATATGCTCACAACGTAATTGGAATAATAATTTTGTTTTCTTTTGATTTATCACTCTGTCACTGTCCAATGCACTGAAGTCTGCAATGTAATGTGTCAATAAACGAAGTATTTAACCCCTTCGTGACGGGAGACGTACACTGTACGTCCAGCCACAAAGGGACCAAATGACTCGTCACGTACACTGTACGTGACGAGTTATTTGCTGCACTAGAAGGCTGCTAACCGCTGAGAATCAGCGGTTACCTTTCAGTAATAGATGTCTAACTATCTAGAGATCCATTACTGAAAGGGTTAACCTTTTTCAGACACCCGATACCTTAATATCGGGTGTCTGAGAGTCACAGCAAAGCGGACACACATGTCGGCTTTTGCCGGCATTCTGACAGCTCGTATAGATCGAGAGATATCTCTCTCAAGCTATACGGGTTTTTTTTTTTTTAATCTTTTGACTTTCAAGAATAGATACAAAATGTTATGTATTAGACACATAATGTATCTATTCTTGAAAGTAGAATGTTTAAGTTTTCTGAAACATTCACTGACAGCTGAATCCTGAACTGCTGCAGGATCAGTGTCACTAACTTATTATCGGCTGTTCTGAAGTTTGAAGCAGCCTGATAATAAAAAAAATGTATTAATTTATCAAGCAGTAATAGTGAGATTAATTCACAATGACTGCTTGATATAATTAAATAAATAAAATTTGTCAGTATAAAAAAAGTGAAAAGTGTAAATAAATAAAAAAAAATAGTGAAAAGTGTATAAAAAAATTAAAAATAAGGGACAAATAAATGAATGTATGTATTGCATTTTTTTTTAGCTGTGCTGGTTTTGTTAAAAAAAAATACTACAAATCAAAACTGGGAAAAAAAGTTTTTTTTAAAGTTTTTTCCTCTTTTTTTAATTTGTATTTGTCCTAAGTGAGGCGTTAGACACACAAATGTGATATAAATATATAGCCCTATCTGTCCTCCTAAAAAACAATATATAATATGTGTGGGTGCACTTTGTAAGAAAGTATATTACTGACGTGGAAGAATCACACAGCAAAAATGTCGAAAGTGTGTCAGTCATTTACGAACAGAAACCAAAAACAAGCTCAGTCATGAAGGGGTTAAAAAAAAAGGAGCTAGAAAAACTGGTTCAAAAAGCAGCATTTAAAAAGGAATTGATAACGAAAAAAAGAGAGAGATTATTTAATATCCTCAACAAGTCGAACTCCGATCATGTATTTTTTACCTAAGATACACAAAAATATGAGGCCCCCCCCCTGGAAGACCGATCGTGAGTGGGATAAATTCCCTTACAGCTAGATTACGGAAATTAATAGATTGGCATCTACAACCGTTGGTGGCTAAAACCAAAGCATTTTTGAAGGACAGTAAGGACATTCTAAACGTGTTAAAGGACATAGAAGTCAATGACAATACGGGATTACATCTTTGGAAACATCAAGATTTGGAAACGCTTCATAGACGATATTTTATTCGTTTGGGAAGGGGATATTCAGTCTCTTAAAGAGTTTGTAGAAGTACTTAACATCAATGAATATAATTTGTCCTTCACCAGTAAGATTAGCCCCACCAATATTCAATTAGTTGACCTAGATATTATAAAAAATGGAAACAAATTTGACACCAAAACCTACTTCAAGCCAACCGATAGAAATAGTTATATCCCCGTCTTCAGTTGTCATCACCCCAACTGGCTCAAAGGTATTTCTAAAGGCCAAATGACCAGAATCAGACGGAACTGCACAACAGAGGAAGACTACTGTGAACAGACTAACACCCTGGTAAAGAAGTTTGAGGAACGAGGATATAAAAATAATACTTTGAACAAAATACAGACAGAGATTCAGAGGAAGGATAGATTAAAACTATTGGAGCCATCTACTACATCTAAAGACCCTATACCTCTAACATTCATTACTAATTATTCAGCCCAGTACAAACAAATTGAATCCATCCTCAATAAACACTGGCATATCCTAAAAAGGGAAAGAACCCTGGGCCCAATTCTCCCAAACAAACCAAAAATGATCTATCGGAGAGTACCTAACCTCAAAACTAAATTAGCTAAAAATACACTTGATCCCTCAAAGAAAAATGTGACTCTCTTTAATGGCATTGGGTTCTATCCATGCAAATATTGCATTGGTTGTAGGACTACAGGCACTAGGAAAAAGGTAGGTGCTTTTAAATCCAACACGATGAATAAAAGTTATCAAATAAAAAGGTTCATATCATGCCACAGCAGGTATGTAACATATTAATTAGAATAAGCAAAACAAATGACAAACGCACGCAACAATTTGTCACCAGCTATACAGTAAGGTGCACACGAAATGGGCTTTGAACAGTCAAATAGTAGAAAGGTATCATGGCACACTCACAAACCAGCATGTAAAACAACTTGTCTCACCACTAAGGTTAATAACAGAGGTTTGGATACACGTCTTCTGCAGAAAATGTGAAAGCCGCACAGCCGTGCCAAGGCACCTCTTATAGTGCGGTCCTAACTCTAAACTATGAGAGTCTCCATCTTGGAGCACATGGGGGCAGAAGATTTCAAATTGGGTGCAGGTTTGTCAGGTGGAAGCCCAATCTCCTTAAAGGCACAGGAACACACAAGGGATCCCACACATCCCAATGGCAGCTGAGAACCCCCATGCATCACTGCACCAAATCGGTCAAGCAAAACAAATGACAAACGCACTCAACAATTTGTCACCAGCTATACAGTAAGATGCAGCCGAAATGGGCTTTGAACAGTCAAATAGTAGAAAGGTATCATGGCACACTCACAAACCAGCATGTAAAACAACTTGTCTCACCACTAAGGTTAATAACAGAGGTTTGGATACACGTCTTCTGCAGAAAATGTGAAAGCCGCACAGCCGCGCCAAGGCACCTCTTATAGTGCGGTCCTAACTCTAAACTATGAGAGTCTCCATCTTGGAGCACATGGGGGCAGAAGATTTCAAATTGGGTGCAGGTTTGTCAAGAGGAAGCCCAACCTCCTTAAAGGCACAGGAACACACAAGGGATCCCGCACATCCCTTGTGTGTTCCTGAGAACCCACATGCGTCACTGCACCAAATCGGTCAAGCAAAACAAATGACAAACGCACTCAACAATTTGTCACCAGCTATACAGTGAGGTGCACACGAAATGGGCTTTGAACAGTAAAATAGTAGAAAGGTATCATGGCACACTCACAAACCAGCATGTAAAACAACTTGTCTCACCACTAAGG